GGAATGTTTGAGTTCATATTGAGATCTCTGTCTTTTGATTGAGACGTTCGTCTCTTGAGCACAGTTTAAGACCTTGTTTGAAATCCTCTGAATTTGTATACTCTGAGTCTTTTAGAGGAGAAACATCTCAGAAAATGTGTAAAATTTCCATTTGCTCTACATTTGATCTCATTGCTGTGTTGGAGAAGTTAAAGAGAATTTCATCACTCAAGCTTCATACTATGACAGTGATAAATATGGGCTTGTATGTGTCGTATCTCAGAAAAATCTACCTGTAATATCAAGGAAAATGACTGCATTTCTATGTGGATGCTGGTTTTATCCACACAGCAGTGAAAAGCTTGGAAACTTGAGTTTATATTTCACCCAAAAATAAAAATTTTCTAAAAATTCATCATCAGATTTGTAAAAAGCTGAAACAAATCCATCATTAAGATGTTTTTAACTTCAAACAATTGCTAAAATACGAGTCCATAATATATAATCTCTCATCCTAATCTTGGATGGCCTGAGGGTGAGCACATTTTCAGCTAATTTTAATTTTTGTGTGAACGGTTTCTTTAAATGCTTGAAGGATTGAGAAATGAAAGAGATTTCGTGTGTGGTTTTCTTCCTTGATTGTGTCAGCAGCACATTATCTATTGTCTAGACGGATTTGTCGTTCGGTTGTTTCAGGTTTCATTTCCTGTCAGTACCGCCCACCATAATATCAGTTACTGATATTCTTTGCCTTCTTCCATTAATTCTGCTTTAGGATTTCAAAGAACAGATCGTCCATCACTTCGCCACCATCTTCTTGCTGGGTTTCTCGTACTGCTCCAACTACATTCGGATCGGGACCCTTGTGATGCTCGTCCACGACTCCTCTGACTTCCTGCTGGAGGTACGAGCTCGACCGCTGAGTCACGCATTCATGCTCAGAAACAATGAGTCTAACACGGCCAGAAAATCCCCATCTGATGATTTCACTCCTGTTTCCTGTTGAAGTCACACCTGTTCCTGGGTCATCATTCGCAGTAACCTTTACACTTGGTTTTGGCTTTATGACGTTTTGTGCTTTAGAGTAATTTGGATTTTTATGTGCTTTCACAACTTAAAATGTACAACTTCATCTTAAATTATGTATTTCAGTTAGTTTTACTTTTATTTGTGAATTTTCAGTTTAATTTTAATTAAAGTTTTTGTATTTTTTGTGTGTGCTTTTGTTAATTTTCTTTGACGAAATAAATAAAAAAAATGTATAAATTAATATTAAATAATAAAAAGAAGAAAGAAAGAAAGAAGAAACCGTTAATAACTTAAAATAAAAACAAATACATAACTACAAAAAGCCCCTTACAACATTTTAAAGATCAAGCAAATACTTTTTGATTACTGCCCAGCTTTGTTGGAAATGTCAGATTTTAACTGTAAATCCGCAGTCATTTTCTTAATATATATCTGATTCAGTCTCTGTGTCCATTCTGTCAGAGTATTAGTTTACGTTTTGAAGTTTCAGTGCTTTAAATGTATTGTAATTTATTGTAGCTCAACAATATCTCTCTGGATTTTCCACAGTCTGCCAAGATGTTCAACTATGCCGGCTGGAAGAAAACTTGCGATTCATTGTTTGTGATTTTTGCTGCTGTATTCCTGGTTACACGCCTGGTTGTGTTTCCCAGCAAGTAAGAACTTTAAACTCTTTAAATCATGAAGTATCAGATGACATTGCCTTCAGTTTCTATTTCAAAACACTTCACTATTAATGTCACTTTATCTATTTCAGTAGCTGTAATAGAAATAGGCAGCTCTTAGATTTGGTTCCTTTGCATTGTTTTTATTATCATGGAAATTGCTGAGTATACTGTCTATACTGCTCAGTATGTAGTACACTAGCATTCATAGGTAGTGCACTAGTGTTTTTGTCCCAAAAGGTGCTTTAAGTTCTTGCTGTCCTCCTCCAAGTCCACTGACGAGATAATTCTGCTTATACTGTCACAAGTAATCCACATTAGAGCATACTTGACCCAAGTGTGCATCAAGGGTGCATCAGCAACCTGAACTGACACTCTAGTGCACATCAAGTGCACCATTTGAGACAGAGCCGACTCTGAACATGACATCCGCTGCTTATCTAACACAGAGGTCGGCTCACGCGAGAGAGGCGTTTAATCACGTGTGTGTGTGTGTGTGTGTGTGTGTTTTCTCTCCTGTAGGATCATCTACACCACTCTGGTTTTGTCTATGGAAGTGTTTGAGCCGTTTATGGGGTATTATTTCTTTAATGCGCTGCTGCTGGTGCTGCAGACACTGCACATTTACTGGGCTTATCTCATCCTCAGAATGATCTACAAGTTTCTCTTCTTAGGGAAAGTAAGTCATTCCTTCCGTCCATCATATCTGCAAGTCCCAGAAACTATTTAGACACTCGTTCTGTATGTCTGAATTAAATTACCTAACAGTGGTATTTTAGTATTATATACTGTCAGAGTATTTATTGATATTATGAATAAGCTTTTATTTTTATATTTTCAGTTTTCGTTTCAATTGTAGTTTAAGTTTTGGAAGTTCACACTTTTGTCTTTTTTTGATTAGTTTTTGTTTTTTATAAAAATATTTCTATTTGGCATTCGTTTATTTTGATTTCAGTTTTAGTTTTAATTTTAGAATTTCAACTAATATGATTTATTTCAGTTAGTTTTATTATTATTTGTATGTTTTAATTTTGTGCTTTTTCATTTTTATTTATTTATTTTTAGTTTGTTTCAGTAATTTTAGAACTTCAACTTAAATTATTTTATTTACATTTACTTTTATATTGTTATTTTAGTTTAGAAAAAAACGAACAACTTTAAGTTTTAGTAATTTTGCAGTGCTTCTTTCATTTGTATTACTTTTTGTTTTTTATATACATTTCTTTTTAGCTTTAATTTATTTTAATTTCATTCTTAGTTTTAGTAAATGTAATACTTCAACTTAAATTATTTATTTCAGTTAATTTTACTTTTATATGTTGTACATTTTAATTAAGTTTTAGTACTTTTGTTATGTGCTTTTGTCATTTTTGTTAGTTTTTTATGTGTGTATATATTTTTCTTTATCTTTAATTATTTTTATTTCAGTTAGAATTTTAGTCATTTTAAATTAATTGAAATAATTCATTTTGGTGAGTTTTATTTGTATATTTTCAGTTTAATTTTAATCTTAGTTTAGTTTAATGTAGTGTTAGTATTTTTGCTTTTTGTCATTTTTATTCGTTTTTGTGTTTTATTTTTCTATTTAGCTTTTATTTCAGTTTTAGTTTTAGTAAGATCAGTATGTCAACTTAAATTATTTCTGTTAGTTAGAAACATTTCTCATTTTCGTTTAAATTTTGTATTTTATTTGATGTATTTCAGTTACCAAAAAAACTATTTTTATTAGATTTAGTTTTAGTTAACAACAACAATGCTGCATACATAACAAAATATGTGATGTGTGCTCAGAGGAACTTTTCTCTCTCTTTTTCATCGCATGAACTAATTTCAAAAGCATTGCACATTGTGATCAATTATTTGACTGACACACATTGGTGAATTCAAATAAACCCAGAGATCTTCGACCAGTCTCACTTTGACCTTCTCTGCTCCAGCTGGACAAGGACGAGCGCAGCGATGTTGAAAGTGAACCAGAGGAGGAGGAGAATGAGGAAGAGGAAGAGGAGGAGGAAGATCGGTCTTCCTGGAGGAAGAGGAAGGTGGTTCTGGACTCCAGGCTGGCGATGCTGAGCTCCAGCTGTGTCTTAAATAACTTGACTAATCAGAAAGCCGACGCGAACAGAAGACTGCCGAAAGCCAGATAGCAGCGAGCGCTGAGACGTGCTACTCCTTCATCCACACTGAGATCATCAGAAACAAATACACTGTACTACAGGAACACACTTGACTCTCATTTACACCAGTAACCAGCTGAAGCATCAAGCACTTATGAGGGAGAGGCAGATCAAGGAATTCCTCTTTATTTAGTCACACCTCATATCACTACTAAAAGAGTAGAATTGAATGGAAATAAAAAGATTTGCTGACGCGTGCATTTAGTTCATGACAGATCAGCAGTGCAAACCCATATCAATAATGTTCAGTCTGTAATAAATAGGCTATAAATAACTTTTAACTGAAAATACTCTGTATTTATTGTGCACTTGTATGATGAAAATACTCGGTTTGAAATGAATGGTTTGTTTTGTAAATATAGCTGTAGATTTCATTTTGAACATGTTTTAATGTCCTCTGGTAGAATATATGAATATATTGTGAAATATCTTGCCTTGTCTTTTTCTCTGTATACATATTTTACTTTACACAAAAATAATTTATATAAATATTACATTGTAAATTATTGTAACAAATCACATGTCGTGTGTAATGAAGATATTTTATAATTAAAAAATACATTTATTTAAATATATATATATATATACATTTTAAATTTATATTAAATTTATTCATTTAACATTTATTAATTACAACACTGTATATGTATTAATATTGTATATAATATATAATAATATAAGTATTATTCATTACATTTAATTTAATTTTATATATACATGTGTAAATATAAATATACATATGACATGTTGTTATTAAATGTTATACATTTATAAATATTAATGTAAATATGAATCTGTAAATTACTGTAACAATTCAAATCACACAACAGTTTTAATTCTACATATTAAATGATATTTAATAATAATTTCAGAAATACACATATAGCTAAGTATATAGCACACACCAAACGTCACCCAGATTCACAGTATACACATAATAAATAGCAGCTTGTCCCAGAAATGCAGAAACCGATCATGCATTTATATAAATCCAGCACAGACCTTATTTTAGGAGCTTTAACTCTGACTCTGAAGAAGTCGCATCCTGATGAATGCGCTGATATAATGTTTATATTGGTTTGAAAACCCGTTGGGTGGCAGCGGCGCGCTGCGGTTCCGCTCCGCTCCTGCAGGCGGCGGTAAAGCCGCTTTAACGCTCAAAGACACGCGATCTTCGCGCACGAGAAACGCGTCGTTCTTTTTCCGGCCGGATCGGCAGCGACTGCGAGGGTGAGGATTACCGTCCGCGCGATTGTGTAGTTTTTACGTCTTTTCTCACTTTATTCACCCTTATGTTTGTTTGAATGTGTACATAAGTTGTTTACGTTCGTGAGTGGAGCGATTAAAGCTGGTTATGCGGTGGATTTAGACGCGTTTGTGTGGTTTGAAGTTGCGAGTGTGTCGTGATGGAGTGTCATGGCCGCTTCGGCCATGTGTGACAGAAAAACACCAAACATACAGTAAAGCGACAGAAACCTACAATACATGCTTTTTACGTGAACATGCTTACATTATTTAGCTCTATTTTGTAACGGTACGGGTCCCTGTCCGCGTTTGAATGACATAAAACTGATTTGTGATACACAGTAAAGTCAGATGCTGATCACTAATTGGTGTTTTTGATATCATTCATTATATATATCAAAATATATGGCAATTCCATGGTATCTTAAGTTACTATGGGTCATGGCCAAAATCACGGAAGTACCATTGTATTACAGATGCTGATTTGTTGCTGAAACATGGTATAAATGAAAATAACTACATGTGCCAACAGGGCAAAAATATTGTATTGCACTATTTTTTGCTGTTTCTGTTCCTGTGATGATCAGTGCACTGCTGATGCTTGATGCTCTCGTTGACTCTGAAGGATGTTGATTGTCTCTTTTTCTGTGACAGTGGCAAAATGCAGATCTTTGTGAAAACTTTGACCGGTAAAACCATCACCCTCGAGGTCGAGCCCAGCGACACCATCGAGAATGTGAAGGCCAAGATCCAGGACAAGGAGGGTGTGTATGACCTTCAGCGGATGTCAGTGTGAAGAAAACAGGGTTTCTGTGGGTCCTAAACTCTTAATTTGCCCTTCCACAGATGAAGGCCACAGGCCTTTTAGGTGCAGAAAATCTTAAAATGTATTGCAAAAAAGGAAAATTATATATATATATATATATACACACACACTACCGGTTAAAAGTTTGGGATCAGAAAGACTTTTAATATTTTTTACCTGAGTTTCTTCTGCTCATCAAGGCTGCATTTATTTGATAAAACATACAGGAACAAATGTAATATTGTGAAATATTATTATGATGTAAAATAATGTTTTTATATTTTAATATACATTAAAATCAAATTTATTCCTGTGATGGAAAACTGAATTTTCAGCATCATTACTGCAGTCTTCAGTGTCACATGATCTTCAGAAATCATTCTAATATGCTGATTTATTATCAGTGCTGGAAACTGTTGCTGCTTCATATTTGTTTGGAACCTGTGATACTTTTCTTCAGGATTCTTTGATGAATAAAACGTTAAAAAGAAGAGCATTCAGGTATCTCAGTGGGGAATTACATTTTCAAATTCAGTTTTTTTTCTGAGCTCATTGTTAGATATTTCTTCTTTTTATAAAAATGTGCTCACTTCATTTTGATACATTTCTCAGAAAAGAAAACTTAAGTCATTTTGCTTCTGAAGTAAACATCTTGATTTAAGTATCTAGAAATTTTCACTGGAAAACAAGACACAATTTCTAAGGAAGTTTTGTGTTTGCATGGATTTATTCCTTAAATTTTGACTTGGTCTGATAAAGACCATCTTGAAGTCTTCTATTTACCTTCATAGAACTTGCAGAAACCCTGTATAAAGATATAAGCTGAATTAATCATGTTCTGCTTTCTGGGAGAAAAATTGTTAGTTAACATGCCTTTTATTATTTAAAAAAAAAAATTTCAGACCACTAACATCTCTTATTATTTATATTTATTTCTTATTATTATATTTTGTCCCATTCTTCAGAGTACTAGCGTGTCTTTATTTTATCCTCAGGCATCCCGCCCGACCAGCAGCGTCTGATTTTCGCTGGCAAACAGTTGGAAGACGGTCGCACGCTTTCAGACTACAACATTCAGAAAGGTGTGTAAATACTGGACTGTCTTTAAATAGAAAACCACTCTCATGCGCATAACCTCTGCTGTTGCTCAAGAGCTCCTGTGTTTGTTCGGCTGATGTTTGTGGTTTTTCTCAAGAGTCCACCCTGCACCTGGTGCTGCGTCTCAGAGGAGGCATCATCGAGCCGTCCCTCAGACAGCTGGCCCAGAAATACAACTGCGATAAGATGATCTGCCGCAAGTAAGAGCACACGCTTCACTTCTAACGTCTAGTGATGGACTCTCGTG